TCCAGCTTGTCAATATCTCTCTTGAATTGTGATGCCCAGAATTGGACACAATATTCCAGGTGTGCTCTAACCAAAGCAGAATAGAGGGGTAGCATTACATTACGCAAAGTAAGCATTTGCAGTACAGTTGATGTTGCTCTTGAGGCACTCTTGGGGGAAAATAGACCTTGACATATGCAAGTTGTAGTTACTGGGATGTATAGTTCACCTACAATCAAAGAGCATTCTGAACTCCACCAGTGATGGAATTGAACCAAATATGGCACACAGAACTCCCACGATGAAAATATATATCAGTGATTGGTTGGGGGGGGGGGGGGGAATACTGTTTGCTTGCCATTGAAAAATACCTAGGGCCACCTCTGGCCACAGCCATGACTCCAAGGTTGTGCCGATGCTGTCCAATTAACTGCTAACCAAACAGGAATGACTGTGTTTACAACCTGCATAACAAAGGAAGCCAAGGAGGGGAATTCCCGGAGAACAAGACTCCTGTGCACCTCCCTTGAGGAAGTCCTGGAAGGATTGGGGCCCCGCTCTGCCCATCCCTTCGATGGTGCTGTAAACCTGTTGAAGTCGAGCATGCCCCACCCCTAACAAGGGATGGTGACTTATAGTGCTGCAAAGGACAAAGGTACCAGACTGCACAATAGGGGTTATGTCTTGGTCAATTTGCCAAGACCTTAACAACAATGAGGACCCCATGAAACTTCGGGAATGGCTAGACCTTGGGGTCTCTGCCTCTCTCGAGAGTTGTAGTTTTCCAAGGACCATGGGACCGGCTTCTATCCCAGCGCTGCAGGGCTTTGTGCCTTGGCCCAGTGGAACTCCATAGACTCCCTTTGTTGGCTTTTTGAATTCTGCTACATTCCTGGACTTCACTCTCTTCAAGGACTCACTCTCTACCCATGAACTTTCTTCAAGACAACTTATGAATTCATGCTGAGTCCTGATATTGTCTGCTTTTTATAATTGGTATTATTAATTTCTCTCTGAATGGGAAGATACCTGCATATGATTTCCCTGTGTATAATTTCTATATGTTTTTTTAATGTTTCCTTGTATTCCTGACCCTTTGCCCCTTCTCCCTCCAAAAAAATATGTAAGGGAACCTTCAGAAACAAAAGCCATTAGCGATTACTGAAACCTCCTGCCAAAGACACACTTGCATGGATAAAAGAAGGAAATTCTTATCTCTAGCATCGGAAATGGTCCACTAGAGTAAAGAATTGTTTGACAAAAGTTTCTGTAAGATAAGGGGAAATCTTCCCCTCTGCTTTTGTTTACTTAGCATTAACCTCAGGCTGCCATCATTGTTCTCCTGTCTCACAGCCAGGAAGGATCTGGATATTTTTACACATGTTGATTCACAACACTCAAAGCAGCCCTGCTTGAGCTCTTTGTCTCGCCGGCCACATGGCATGCCCTTTGTTTAAAGATCATTCCGCCTCCATCTCTCCTGATTAGCTGTCATCACCAGGTGACAGAGGTCTCCCCATTGGGTCCTACGGACCACTGGAGCTTCCTTATTGGTCCAGAGGCACCGGGGGTGGGAGGGCCGCCTCCCAGCTGTTTGCCCATTGCCCAATCATGGCGGGGAACAACAGGGAAGCCGGGGCGGGGAGTTTGAACTCTGCAAGTTTGAATTTGCTATAAATATGACTGTATTGGTGTACTCCCCTCATGCTTAGCTTGGTGAATGATTGCAGCTCTGCATCCGTTTCAGCTGAATCGCATTAAACCTTGATGACTTTTCTTCAACTGGTGAGACTTTTCATTGGGAAATCAGGGAAAAATATGGGATGCTTTTCTGTCTCGCCAGGGAAAAAGAACTCTTTGATGAGTCTAATTGATCTCTGCCTCCTGGCAAAGACCCCTAAATTTTATCTCTACATCACTGTAAGTCTACAGACGTCACACACAACTCCTGGAATGATTCCATCAGCACTGCCTCCGGAAAATCCTGCAAATCTCTTGGGAAGACAAGTGGACAAATGTCAGCGTGCTGGATGAAGCAAAGACCACCAGCATTGAAGCGTTGCTCCTCCACCATCAACTCTGCTGGACTAGCCATGTTGTCTGGATGCCCGACCACCGTCTCCCAAAGCAGTTGCTCTGCTCTGAACTCAAGAACGGAAAACAAATCCGTAGGTGACTGTGGAGCCCTATTCTTGATCTACATCTTCTCCCGCAGTGAGGGCATCGGTTTCCAGGTGGGAGGAGGTCCCGGTCAGGGTTAGCTTGACGCACATTCCTCTTGGCACGTATCACTCTTTCACCCTCCATTTGTGCCTCTTCAAATTCTGCAGCACTGCTGGTCACAGCTGACCTCCAGCTGGAGCATTCAAGGGCCAGAGCTTCCCAGTTCTCAGTGTCTAGGCCAGAGTTTTAAGGTTGGCTTTGAGCCCATCTTTAGATTTCTTTTCCTGCCCACCAACATTCCATTTTCCATTCTTGAGTTCGGAGTAGAACAACTGCGGTCGGGCATCCAGACAACACAGCCAATCCAGCGGAGCTGATGGAAAGATGTGTTCCAACTTGTGCCTGTGAAAAGTTGGAGTGTATGACATTTTGCAATTGTACTGTGTAAAGCAACAATTGGCATCACCATAATGCAAATGCTCAGCCTGCAATTAGAGATTCCGAATGAATCCAAAGGGAACAGTAATCATTCTTGTTCTATTTTCAGCCTTTCCAGAAGGACCCAATCTGCCCTTCCCTGTGGTTCCCGTAAGAGGTGAAGATTATTTTACTGCAAACAGATATTTCACAACTGCTGAGTAGTATTTCCCCTCTTGAAACAGATTAGAACGCCCAGCTCCTCTTCTGCTTCATTCCCTTCAGTTTGGCTACCAATCAAGATGTGAAATGGGGAAGCCTGGTGCATTTTCTGACACTGGCTGTAGAATTAATGAGGTTTGGCCCTACTTGGACTGCCA